AGGGAAAAAACAGCAAAAGTATATGTTTTGTTTGCATTAAGTTTCAATTTAGTCCATCAATTTCATAACATACATTTTAACTACTTTAATCTTCACACCATGAGTTTCATTTCACGAAAAAAATAGACTCATCAAATTTACTTTTATGTTTCCTTTGTTTTTATTTTGTATTTCAATGCAACTTACAATCACTTGATTATATTGACATCAACTCTAATTAATATGTGATGAATATAGGAATTAGTACTTATATATAGAGGACCAAATAAAAATATTACACAAGCCTCATTAGAAATCAGATAAAATTATGTGTACTGACAAATTGAATTTTTTTCGTAAATTAATTCACTAACTCCTTTGAAAGATTTGAACCCTGTGAAGAGTAGGCGAGATATTTGAATCATTCAGTACATAACGTGTTCGGCAGGGAAGATTTTTTTTTTTTTTGAGCAAAACAGCAGGGAAGATATTTGAATCATTTAATACATAGCATGCCCGGTAGGATGTTCCTACAACAAAACCGTTAAAGGCTGGTAAAAAGGGGGGGGGGGGGGGGGAGCCAACCCGTTAAAGAAAACGTGTTTGGTACCCTTAAAACACATGCTTAAGATTGAAAAAACATATTCATTGAAACACCCTCAGTTTATTGCCTATATTCTGTCCTTAAAGAACTCAAGCAAACAGATCTAATCAAATGGTTCACAAACTCATAAATAACACTTTACTGATATTATCTCAGTTTTATGTAAAAATTATTTAATTTATTTTTAACTCTCTCTTACTACGACTTATATATAGGCTCATAGCGTTCCATCTTCCCATTATTTAGTCGACGCAGAATTTCTTAATATTGTTATTTTATTCATTTATGTATATATATGTTTATACATAGACACATATACATATGATTATAATTATTTTAATTTCTTATATATATTTAATCTCTATCTATTCGATCTTAATAAAAATTTGCTTAAATCTTAGAGATATGAAAATTAGAATGTTATACTTTTCAATCATATAATCTTAATATTGTTAGTTTATTAACAAAATGTCAATATTAAAATTTTGAATATGTAAGAATTCACTTTTGATTCTTATAGTTTTAACTTAATTATAACTCAGTTGTTAAAATTTAACTTAGTACAACTAAATGGCTACAGTTTTGACCCAATTAAAACTTAGTCCTTAAACTTTAGCTCACTGTAACTCAATTTTTATAGTTTTAATAATTTAAAACTTTAGTATATAGTTTCATAAAATATATAGTTTATTTTTTAAGATATAAAGACTAACATTTTAAATGCGAATCGTACCAAGTTAAAGTTCATATATTGAACTGCAACCAAGTCAAAATTATAAGAATTAAGTTACACTATGTTAAAATTTAGAAATTGAATTATAATCAAGTCAAAATTAGTGAGATCAAAACTTTTTTTTTCATTTAAATATTGACAAACCATAATATGCTGACCCATTAAGTTTAATTTTTAAATAACAATTATTGAAATGAAAAATTATCATTTGAGACTTAGTGTTAAGATTGGAAGAGTAAAAAGATACTTTATAAAATTAAACAACCAAATTTAAATTTTATATAAAATTAAAGAAGTAAATATATAATTCTACGTAGTTTTGCATCTAAAAACGATTCTAAGTTATTAACAAAGAAAAGCATCTCAGGGCCACGCGTTGCAAAGGAATAGATGCTTCTTTGGTAATAACAGTTTTTTTATTATACTTTTAAATTTTAAATAATATACGTTAAGCACGAGGACATTATTCCAGATAGAATATACTTTTAAATTTATGGACATTATACAATAAAACTCTCAGGGTCCGTGCCTTAGACGGCTCTCACTGCCCCTTTCACTGTCACTTTCGGTGCCCTTCTTTATCATTTAAATCAAAGTATTTGAAGGTGAGTTTGTTATTAGTATTTTATTCAAGCTTTTTGGCCATAAATTTTATTTATTTAAATTCACAGTATATCACTCTTTTAAATTCACAGTATATGACTCTTTTGTTGTGACAGTACCTAAATAGAATATCGCCATGCATTATATTCTGCTATCATGGGTTTTTACAGACACATAAATATATGACAAAACCAAACATCTGCTCTTACCAAAAAAAAAAAAAACCAAACATCTGTTTATATTTAATATGTTAAGTTTACATGCGAGTTTATAAGTGCGCATATGTACCAATATCTATATTTCATATGTAAATTTATAAATATGTATACGTATTTTAACAACTAATAATAGTAAAATAATAATTTATATGAAAATTTATAAACTTTAATTTACATTATAAGAGTTGATAGGAAAGTTTATCAGTGTTCATAGATGAATTTACAAGGGTATTTATATATTTTAACAACAAATAATGTCAAAATAATACGTATGATTAGAAAAGTTAACCTAATAAATATGAGCAACTTGACCTAAATGATGTTCTTAACTAAACATGTTTTTAAATATTTGTAGAAAAAATGTGTTTACAAATTTTAAATTTTAAATTTAAATAATATTTATTGTTTCATACTATATGATGAAGAAATTTAAAAATATTTGTTTGGAATATCACCTCCAATTCTTAATAAAAAAATTAGTTAAATAAATTATTTATAATAAATGAGTGTTGATTTTCTTAAGGCATCTTTATTGATCATATGCATTAGAATGAAAACCCTCTAACATGTGTAATCACTATGTAGATTACTTTGGAGAAAAATAAATAAATATGAGAAACAAATTAAATTATATTGAGGACAAAATTGAATCTTTAACTAACCTTTATATTTAGGAATGGAGGTAGTAGATATTTTTAGCCATATAAGAAAAATCTAAATAAACAGGTTTCAATAAATGTAATAAATTTATAACATAAGGGAAAATTTGAAAATATATGCATTAAAATTATATTTTGACCCTAACCAAAAAAATATTTTTGGACAATTCTTATATTAAATATAGGTATTTTGATGAAAATAAAATCTTAAATACAGAATGAAAGTTAGTATAGCTTACTTTTTGATTTTAAGAACGGTTTAGTACACCAAGGGGCGAAAAAAAGGGAAAGGTTTATACAAGTTTTCAGAGAAATGATCCCTAATAGCTTTTTATTATAACCTAGTGACATCCAAGCCTTTTAATAAGCGGAATTTTGATGAATTATGGGGTGTTTAGGTAATTAAGAAAGTACTTTTTTGTAAATTGAAACAAATGTTTTTATATATTTACTTCATATGCTGTAAAATTATTTTTAAAATTATGATTTGGTATTTATGTAAATACCCCTTAATCTTAGTTTGTAACCATAGGCAACATTAGTTTTTGTAGAAAGAGTGACTAAAAAAAGTTAAAGTGGTGAATGAATAAGTTTCTTCTTTATTAAATATTGGGTTAAGGGCTAAGAAAGGGCCATGGGTATCTCAATTTTTTTTTTTTTCAATATTGTCCTAAAAGTGCTATAAAAAAGGCAATATCACCCTAATAATTAAAAAAATTACATTAACCATTAAAAAATTGATATTAACTATTTAATTGTTAAAAAATCAATATTGATTGTTAATATTTCTTTAATGATAAAGATGATATTATTTCTTTTTTTTAACAATTTCTGGATAATATTGAACAAAAATTTTTTTATTCTCAAAGCTACTTGACAAATAAATTCAGGGTTAAATGTTCATTAACTACACTAATTTCTCCCTCCATCTTGAAATATAAACAAATTTTAATTGTCTCACACACTTTTAAAAAATAGTTTTAATTCTCTTAATAATTATATCTCATAATGAATATTTCGAACTAAAATGCCTTGTGACTAATTCTTAATTTTATTTCTAACTTAATAAGAGTCATTGAATGAAAAATATTTACTTAAGGGAAATTTTGGGATTTTGTTTTCTGCCACGTTTAAAAATAGGGAGTAAATTTTGATTGTTTTTGCTTATAGGAAAAACAGAAACCAGTAACCATGTTTTAATACATTATTTAATAATTTATCATTACGACCAACTGTTGGTTGAATAGTAAGCAGTCTTATCCTATAATAAGAACAACACAAATTCAAATTTAAAAAATTACATTTATTGAAAAGACTTTAACCTTATTATTTTCGGCTTGATAGAGGTTTAGTCTCAGGTCCAAAATGATTCGAGACAAAAAAAATAATTTATCATTGCGTGAACATTCACAATCAAAATTCTAGACTATTGTAGAAGGCAAGTATCTAGGGATGTCTATCTACTGGTACTGTTAATAAATTATGCCGCAAGTTAAAAAAAATAATATAAATTATTAGTTTTATTTTTTGAAAAAAAAAAGTTACATCAAAAGGGATTTATATTTTATTATAATTGTATTAAGAGATATTAAAACTATAATTATTTTCTTGAACACCTTTAATAATCACCAGGTTTTTTTTACTAGAAAAAATGTGACTTACTTAAAAAAAATTAGCATTAAAAACAATGGAGAGAAAAATGACAAAATATAAAAATAATTAATATGCATTGTCCAAAAAGTAAGAGAGTTTTCTGGTTTTAAAAACTTGATGAGAAGCTCCCTGAAACTTTTAGCAACTTTAAACCTCGTTGCTAAACAAGTCTTAATTTTATTACAATAATTGTAATATTTACACTCTGTTTTTAAATATAAAAACTAGATGATTAATTTTAGTAGATTAAAAAAATAAGTTAAGTTAGTTATTTGTAATAAATATGTATTGTTTTTTTCTAAAATATCGTTTATAATTAAGTGTATTGATCAGAATTATCATTATTAAAAAAATTAATTTAGAAATAAATAAATAAATATAAAAGATAAAATAAATTGAGGTTTAATATTTAGAATAAAAATAAAGTAAAATGAGATTTTATATTAATAAAATTAAATCATTTAAATTAAATTAGTCCATCATTTTGCCTTTTTCCCCAGCGTGTAAAGGAGGCATGGAACCCAATTCTAGTGCCACGAAGTAGCCTTTTCCCGTTTTGCTTTGCTTGTTCTGCCTCTCTGTTCTTATTCTTCTTCAGTCTGCCATTTCATCTTCGTTGTATCGCACTGTGGCTTCCTCGCTCAGCTGAACGAAAACAAGGTTTTGCACATTAACAATCTTTCTGTTTCGCTTTGTACTGATAGATATTCCTGTTGTGGATGTTCATGTCGGCGCTTTCGATGTGTTTGTTTGATCCTATGGTTCAAGTTGTTTCTCTCTGATTGAGATTTGACAGCGAAGAAAGTGTGTCTGATTTCGAATCTAGTTTCCCTCTTCACATGTCGTTTCTTCTCTAGAATTTGTCAGTGAAGAGAATTTTCCTCATTCTTTATGTATATCGTACGCATGCTATTGATGTTTAGAGGCTTATTCTCGTTAGCTTCTTCGAAAGTCTTGAGAGCTTGGTTTGATTTGGGAACTTAGTGTAGAGGGCAGGAGTGATGCATAACGACTAGAAAGATATTGACTTATAGAAGTTCAAGTCTGAATCTGAATTACGCGGAGTAATAATGCAGGGGTGGTTATTTGTTGGATATATTCAGTTATTTCTTGGAAGAAGGTTCTGCAGGGCTAAATTTATCTAATTGATGGTGGATCATTCTGATTAGGGGCCCCGGTTTACAGGAGTCGTTGTAATCCTCAAGATTAGGAAGTCATAGGTAAATTGACGAGAACTCAGATAATGTTGGTCATCAAGTTTTGTTCTATTCTTATGCCAATAAAACATTTAATTCATTGCCGCCCCCAGGTTATGTCCATATCGAAACTGTGCAATTATTTCAATGTTGTGAGAATCGCCTCTGGGTTCGTAATTCGCTAATGGACAAGACCACTATGATGCATATTTTGTCTTCATATCAAGATGAAAAATATACGCTTCAATGTGTATTCGCAGTATTTGGCAAAAAAAAAAAAAAAGTGTATTCGCAGTAAAATTTTATTCTCTTGGCTTTTGTAGTTGAAGCTTGTAACAATTTAACATTGATTTCCCAACTTTTATCTATACAACAACAAGAAGCCTTATCCAACTTGTTATCTATCTTAAGCAAAAATGTAAAATTAAGGAGGACTTTGAAAGACTGATTTTATGAAACAAAAGTATTCGTAAATTTTCCTGTAGTGGAAGGTTCCTTTGAATTAAAGTTTTCTCACTGATCAAACAGTAGTGGTAAGTAAGGCTGTGCCAGAATAAGTAGGATCAGGATTTTTTTTTTTAATTGACTAGTATTATAAGGATAGCTCAATGTCATTTTACGGTGGATGAATGACCAATTGTGAAAAGTTAGAATAGATTTATATCAATATTTGTACTTATTCTTAAAATATTAAATGCTTGGGAAAATGCAGGCTTTAATGAATGATAATTAAAATGAGGGAAAATCATTAAGATCATCAACTGTTTATGATTTTCATACGGATTTCTTAACGTAGGAGAATCTGATTGGAGCAAGGGAATGTAATGCCCTGTTATGATTAGAATGACAAATATGGATGTAGATGCCATAATATGCTGGAGGATATAGCTGTTTATTGATTAAAGGGTGAAAGAAGATGCATTTATATGATACACTTACCCGGGCTACGTTTTGGGATCTGATGTTAATGCTTTGTTTGTAAAGCACATCTAGTTAACTTATTAACATAATATGCCTTATAGTTGGACTTTTCTTCTCTTTTCTCTTGCTCTGTGTAGTTGACTCCAAATTTAGTGGGTCTCTTTATGTGAGAGAGTTTTGAAATATACTTTCAGGTATGCCAAAAACTACATTTGTGCTATTTATTTTGCAGGTTGATAGCTTCCGCATTCACATGTCCCTTTAACGTTGCCTTCAATTTGGCTGAAATCTGATTAAAAAGCCATGCAGAAGGATACTAGTCTACATGTCCCTGCCCCGTCAACCCCCACTGGTCGGGTTAGGAATCGGAAACGCTCAAATGAGGTTAGTTGTTTTAAGTTTTGCATCTATCTCTCTCTCTCTCTCTCTCTTTTTAACGCAGGTGCAACTCTTGTTGTAATTGGTTTTGCCTTCACTTTTGGTTATTCCTAAATTGTGAATGAAACGTGAAATATTATCTAGTTATTCTAAAATTCTAATTGTGGAAAACAATTATCGGAAACCAGTCATAAATTTTTTGGCTTTTCTTAAATAAACTAATAAACGTTTTTTTTCCAATTAGCTTTACCTTCCTTATTGAGGTTGCTGTCTCTATATACAGCATTGATGTAATTATAACTTCACTATTTGGTTAATTATTCCCGGTATCTTTCTAGGAATGTTACTCACACCATCTGAAAGTGATTAAATTGATAATATCTTCTTGTCAGGCCATTCCAGAAGATGGCAAAGCAAATGGAAACCATTTACTTGCTGATGACAAGAACAAATACAAGTCTATGTGGATTCGTGCTCATTCAACATTTTGGATGATTGCTGGCTTTGCTTTAGTAATCTATATGGGTCATCTCTATATTACTGCGATGGTGGTGGTTATTCAAATCTTTATGGCAAAAGAGCTTTTCAATTTACTCAGGAGAGCTCATGAAGATAGGCAGCTGCCAGGATTTAGGCTATTAAATTGGTATTAGTCTCAAGTTGATTGTCATCCTCATAAGAGTGTTATTTGTTCTAGTCAAGATAAGCTAGAAATTAAAAAGCATTTTTCCCCCTAATTACTAAATGACCTGCTTGCATGAATTTTAATTCAATGTTTTTTATTCATTTTTAACTATCTCAGGCATTTCTTCTTCACTGCAATGTTATTTGTGTATGGACGAATCCTGAGTCAACGTCTTGTCAACACTGTGACGTTGGACAAGGTTTTATTTAAGCTTGTGAGCAGCCTTATAAAGTATCATATGGCAATCTGCTACTCCTTGTACATTGCAGGTGACTTTTGAATATCAATCTTGTCTATTAATATTCGTTGGTGGTGCTTGTGCAATCTCTTCTCGATGCGTGACCAATATCTTGTTAGTTGATATCTAGAATTGTGGTTTTCCTAGTTGTATTACCTATCCTTTGCGTACTGATACTTTGATTTTCTTCCCCTCTCTTCATTGGTCAGGGTTTATGTGGTTCATTCTCACGTTAAAGAAGAAAATGTACAAGTATCAATTTAGCCAGTATGCTTGGACACACATGATTCTGATTGTTGTGTTTACACAATCTTCCTTCACTGTGGCAAACATTTTTGAGGGAATTTTCTGGTAATATGACCTCTGAAGGAAGAGAATGTTATGCTATGATATGTTAAGAACTTCCCTTCATTAATTTTTGAGGACTGTCTTTTCCACGGCGCATACAAATTGATGTCTTTCTTTATCCCTATGAAGTACTGTTTAAGCTGGGTTTACTGAATGTTGCATGATCTCTGTAAATAATATTCTTTATTGTTTTAATTAATTATTTGACTAAAATTTGACGCTGCAGCTGTCAACTGCTTGTATGCTGAACTGTGCAGATAGCTATCAGTGTATAACCTTAGATGTGGTCCATGTGGATTTGGGCTGTATTATAGGAAAGATGGAGGATAAAAAAGGAATAGAAGTAAAATTTACAATAACCTTGCCAGAGTACAAGTATAAGCAAGATAAGTTATATTTCATAAAAGAAGCACAAAAAACACACTCCTAGTGTTTGAGAGACCAGGTTCTCCAAAACAACACTCGCTAATTGTCTAACCATCACAAAACCCTTCCTCCCGAACGTCTCCAGCCAACAGCTCCCCCTCTCTATCTCACAGACTTCACACACTCCACATGAACTTACCTTGGCCCATTAGGTAAGGGCCCATTGTCTCCAGGTCCAACACAATGACGGTATTTTTCCTTCCCTTGGATGTGTTCATATTAGTATTTCTTTCATGTTGGAGAACAACAGGACAATAAATTTTAAGTTTATTCTTAAAACGTGACTTCTCTCAACTCCCACTTCACCCAATGTCTTTCTTTGTTTTGAATATTGTGATCTATAATATTTCTTATTAAATTACCTTTTAATATGAAAGGTGAGATGGATGGCTGGAAGATGTTTTTTCTTTTTTCTTAAAAAAAACAATTATCAAGGAATGTTGCTTCCTCCATTCCTAATTGCAAGACAAGATTTTGAGGGTAGGTGTCCTTTAATACTCTTTACAAAATTTTAGGAGTAATTAATAATTTTTCTCTAAAAATGCCCCTAATCAATGAATAAAAAGACTTGATCTACATTGGAGTAAACATATATGCAGCCTTCTCCATGTACAGAATGCTGAGCCTTAATTGAGGGTGGAGGTGGAAAGATGGAGAAATTTTGAGGACACGAGTTAGTTAAAATTGGTTTTTTTTTTGGGGGTATATTTAGGTAATTTTGTCTTATAATTAGGAATGGAGGAAGCATGAATTACACGTTGCTTAGACAGTGCATCCTCATCCTGCAGAAATCAATTTGAACTCGGTTCTTCCAGCATCATTTACTGACAAGTTGGTGCTGCAGTGAAGGGAATTGGGTTGAGTTCAGTTGTTTAATCCTTTATCATAGTTTTTAAGTGCCTGTTCCATCTAGTTGTGTGCATCCATAAGCATAAGCTTGAGTGCCGTTTTTAGCAAGGAGGCCGGGTTTAGATCTATGGTTCTAGACTTCAATTTTTGTGTGAAGAGTGATGACATATCTTGAGAGCCTTTTTTTTTATTTTTTTTGTTATTTTTTAAAATAAAGGCAGGTTAAAGTTGAATGTAAATGTTCTTGTTAAAATTGAAAGCCCATAATAGTGAATTGCAGATGCTGTTTGTTCCTTCAGTTTTTTTTTTTTTGGGCATAGGTTTATTTTTTGTACTATAATCCTACTACCCTATTCTCCTGCTACCATTTCTTTCTTTCTTTCTTCTTCTTCTTGTGTTTGTTTAATTGTACATGGGATGCTATATGTTTTCTCTCATTAGAAGAATTTTGTTTTTGTTTTTATGTGCTGTCACTGCTTTTTGTGGCCTGAAGCCTTCGGCAGTTGAAATTGTCGCATGATTCTTGATTATTTTGTTTTGCCCGCATTCTCTAACACATGTACTCACTCTGCAGGTTTCTTCTTCCAGCAACACTTATTGTCATTAATGACATTGCTGCTTATATCTTTGGTTTCTTCTTCGGAAGAACCCCATTGATCAAGTTATCTCCTAAGAAAACTTGGGAGGGTTTTATTGGAGCATCCATTGCAACCATAACCTCTGCATTTCTGGTGGGAATGAATAACAATTTGGTCATATGATGCCAAAACATGTTCTTGCTGGCTTTGATATTTTTTGGGAAAAAGATCACAGGGCACCATCTTTACTGAATGGGTCTCACCATGTATGCACACACATGCACTGCATTTTGGGGAGAGCGACTACCAATTTGGTCATAAAGATCAGAAATTAAGTTCTTGCTGACTTTGATGATGCGGGAATTAAGTTCACGGTGTATATGTATTTTAAAATAAACAAACACTCTTGTTTTGGTGTGAATGTGATTATAAAATAAATACCCATTGGCATTTTCTTAATCTATATCTGTAATTTTGTCTCTATGTGTCTATATATGTCTCACATAAAACTGCTCATGCAGCTAGCGAACATCATGGGTCGTTTCCAGTGGTTAACGTGTCCAAGGAAGGTAGCTCTTTAACTGCCCATAGCTATTGATATTTCTAGAGCATGGTGCAAAATCCAAGCAACTTATGTTTCTTATCTCCCTGGAAACGACATGCAGGATTTATCAACTGGTTGGCTTTATTGTGATCCTGGTCCACTGTTTAAGCCAGAGTCATACCCCTTACCAGGAGCTATTTCTCAGTGGGTGAGTCACTTCACAATAAGCTTGAATTTGAAAATCTCAACCCCCCAGGGTTAAATTCATGCCTGCTTTGTTGTGCGAGATAGGTCAATATTAAGCTGCATAAAGGGTTGCAAACAAAAGATGACAACGTTTTAGCACCTAAATGGCTTTGACTTAATCTCTCCCATTGTGCAGTTTCCTTGGAAAGAGATATCAATCCTACCAGTTCAATGGCATGCTTTATGTCTTGGCTTATTTGCATCAATTATTGCACCCTTCGGAGGTTTCTTTGCAAGTGGTTTCAAAAGAGCTTTCAAAATAAAGGTCTGAACTTGTTAACTCAGCATTTGAGCAATTATCTTCATCCGTATGTGTTGCTGGTATTAAATGTTTTTTCTGTATTCCCTTTCTCTGAAGGACTTTGGTGATAGCATTCCAGGACATGGTGGAATTACTGACAGAATGGACTGTCAGGTAACCTCTTTTGATGTTTGATTTTAAGAAAATTATGTTGAATTTAAAAGTATATCCTAATGGCATAAACATTTTACCATATCCTGAGCTTTTTTCTAAAAACTTTTTATCATGGTCATAATTAGATCTAGCTCTCCCATTCTTGCTTGAGGGCCAATTTGGTACAGAGTAGTAATGGAAAGGGAGTGGGAAATTTCTGCCCTATAAACATGGAACGCTTTCTTTCTGACAGAGACGCCCTGCCATCCAACAAACATCAACAACTATAACAACAAGAGCCTTATCCCATCAAGTGGGGTTGGCTACATAGATCACACAACATTAGCATGCTCTATCTAAAAACCAATTCTTCTAAAAAGCCACTAACCAAGAGATGATGATTAATGACTTCTTTAATTGTCCTCCTCTGCCTCCTTCTACCTCTTTTCCCAGGGCTATAGACTATCTGCTTACCTCTCCTTGGTGGCACATCCAATAGCCTTTTTGTTCATGACCAAACCATTTAAAATGATTTTCTACTATTTTCTCCTCAATGAGTGCCACACCAACTTGTCCTCTTATATGATCATTAGGTATCTTATTGTTTATTGTATGACAACACATCTATCTTAATATTCTTGTCTCTCTATTACCGCCGCTTTATGTATGCACTGTTTCCCTTTCAATACCTAACATTCACATATTTACAGTATCGCTGGCCTTGCTGGGGGTCTGATAAAATTTTCCCTCATTTTTTTACCTTTCTTCAAATAACTTTTCCATACGCCAAAAGAACTCTTAATAATAAAGACAATCATGGACACTAAATATAGAATGGTGGGAATACTAGATATATTCTTATAATTCTTTCTAATTTACTGTCGAGAAAGTTAATTGGTCTATTAGCTGCTGTTTGTCACATGAGAAATCCAAGTGTTGACAAACATATTTATGTATGTTGAAATAACAAACAAATATGAGAAATCCAAAACTGGTGGTGTTGATTTCTAAATAGTTTAAGAATGGTGGATTTTTTTTTTTTTCCTTTTAATATATGTCCCTTTTAAGATAGGTTGCTAGATACTTGGAAAATTATTAGAAACGAGCATCAACTGCCGCTTTGATGTTACATGAACTTATGCCATTCGTATGTCTATGTAATAGTCCAGTCTGATGAACAGGAGTATCATGCATATGTCTATAATATTGGCATATTTGCGTATCATAGTGATGTAAATATTTCGGTTGAAGGTGTCTCTATTGTACTACCTCCGATCCTAAATTTAAGAGCTAGATAACTAATTTGCGGATATTTAGGAAATTAATTAAGTTAGTTATTTGTAATAAATGGTATTGTCTTTCTTAAAATATTCTTGTTAACCATGTCCATTAAAATAGAAACCTTTTAACATATACAATTACCATGAGAATTACTTTGGGAATAAATAAATAAATATGGGAGAAAAATGGATTGTGGTTTAACTAAATTGAATCTCTAACCAGTTTATATATTCAAGACTGGAGATAGTATTTTTTATTTGTTTGGTAGATATAGTATACTGTGTATACTTAAAAAGGGCTAGCCTCCTCCTAAGGAGGGGAAAAACCTGCTTGAAATTTCTGGAGAAAATGACATTTTATTATTCATAGTTCATTTAAAAAAAAACAAAACAAAACAAAACAAAAAAAGTCCTCCGAGGGCCATTGAAATAAGTTGTTATTGGGGTTACCGAAAGGTACTAGTCATGATCCTTGAAGTTTATGACTTGGTCTTTTGAGGTTATAATGGTATTTTGAATTTGTTGCTATTTCTGAATGAAAACATTCCTGGAATGTTTGAAAGTCTACTTTATATGAGACGTTATCTTAACTTTTAAGATCCTTAATTGTTGATATTCATCAACTCAAATTTTCATTTGCTTGGTTATCATATTTTAGTGGAGATTAAACTTATTTTTTTAAAAAAAAATTTTCCCCTAATTTGCAGATGGTGATGGCAGTTTTTGCATATATTTATCATCAATCATTTGTTGTGCCGCAAAGTCTGTCAGTTGAAATGATTTTGGATCAGGTATTTTGCCATATTTTTATTATACCATGAGTTATAAATCAAATTTAATACTTGAATTAAAAGAAAATTAATTAATGCTGATGTTTGCTTCAGATATTGATGAACCTATCATTTGAAGAACAACGAGATCTTTATACAAGGCTGGGTCAGATGCTGAGTGGAGGCTTTCAGAGGCGGCGTTAGATTTCTACTTTGTGATTTCATCATCATTAATTAATTAATGAGGGATGATTAATAGAGATAATTTGTACATGCTTGTTCTAATTTCTTAGATAATATTGTTTGAAAAACCAAGAAGCTGCCTATCAGGATGTGTATAGTAGACCTTTACCACTAATGTTTAACTAAATTTCTGCTTTAGCACTTGAAAGGTGATTACGCTTTTTTCTTTTTGAAATAAAATTGTAACATTGGTCTTTTAAATTTATATGCTTTAGCTTGGTCCCTTAATTTTATGAATCTTTTTTTCAATTTGCCAACCCTAATATTTTTAGTCTCAAATATCAGCCAAAAGAATTTGAAGTTCTTATTGTAATTTGACAATTTTATCAAAAAATAATTAATTTAATTAATTTCTTTAATGTGTGTGAATGAGTTATCTAAATTTTAGATTTAGAGATGAAGGGAATATTAACTCCAGAGTAATTATATAGGATCAATATATTATCATGTCTCGTTGTAATATGATGTTTACGGAAATTGATGTCCCAAAATAGAGGGCAAAAAGAGGGTGAGATGAAGAGTCTAACGTCATAGAAATGGGATTATAAAAGCCAACCAGGAAATGGGGATTGGATTGATCCGGTCGAGTATGGACATTGTTAAAATAAAAAAGGTCAAGCTTGGACACAGGAATTTATAAAATAGATATAAAATTCCTCTTACATATTTATCTTATAAAACAGAAAATTACTTAAAATAAAAAAGTGTACTTACGATTAAAATAAGATGTATTTAATCAACATAAACTTAGCTGATGGGAATTATCAGCAAGTAGCGCGAGTTTGATTATCAATTTTTGCTTTATAGCTTGAGACAGATTAGTTTCTGCTATTAATCTAAGATACTCTTAATAAGAGCATTAGTTGAGGTGATGTGAGAAATATGGACAAAAAAAGGGGTGATACGAAGTTAAAAATTTTACCCTGGTCTCAATTTTGTTTTAAAAAGTTGTGTGTGTGTGCATGATTTATTTGATGTGAATTCGTATTAATGAACTTTAAGCATTATAACTCCTGTGAAAATATAGAAAATATTTCTTAGGCCATAATACGAATAAATTTTTTTTTTTAAAAAATATAGAACCAATACGACTTTTAAAGTTGTAAATTATATAACACTAAAAGTATGTTCTAAAAAATTTGGGAAAATTGGTTAAAAATTTCCATTTGACAAATTAACTGGGAGAATGGATCTTGCAATAAATGTAAATGTGAGCCCCTCAAATATCAATAAGTGTGATAGGAAAAAGATTATATTGCCCTGACTAATACTAAATATATATGACAGATTCTCAATTGCATATGAGGGATCTTCACTTGTATATGATGGATTCTCAATTGCATATGAGGGATCTTCACTTGTATATGATGGATTCTCAATTGCATATGACTAATTGCATATGATAGCTATTTATTTGCGTATGACTTATTGCATATAACGAACACTCATTTGCATATGACAGATTCCCTCCTTGTATATAGGTCCTTTTTGCATGTTAATGCTTAAGACAAATGCTAATTATTAAGGAACAAAAAACGAAGCAGGCACTAAACCAGTTAATGTAGTGGTTCAAGTGGGTTAGATCGGGATCAAATGGGTCATATTAAAATAATATAATTTAATTAAAAATAACAAAATGTAATACTATTAATAATTACTAGTGACAAAATACAAGAAAAGACAATAGTAGTTTGATTGTAATAATAACAAAGTACTACAGCATTGAGAATTTTTATTTTTACAATTTCTCAATAACTAAAATTAGTAATCGTTGATACCAAAATCATCACTAAAATTAATTTAAATCTATAACGATTGAGATATGAGTAGCTAAATGAGGAAAATTAGGACCAATAGCAACATAATCATCCAAACCGGTTCATCACCGCTTTGATTAGTTTCATATTGATTCCATTTCTAGTCGATTCAGCATTCAAACCAGACCGGACCATTGGTTAATTCATCGGTTTTTCTGGTTCGGATTGGTTTCTTTTTTCCTTACTAATTATATATGATGAGTCCTCACTCGCATCTAATGGATGCTTACTTACATATGGGTTTTTATGTTGTTGCATATGGGATCTATGTCACAATATGCAAATCACTTGTTTTAATATGCAAATACCTTCGGTGCAAATTTCATGATGTTAGTTTGTAGATAGGAATTTGTTTGAATACTATACAGAGAAATTTGTTTATGTAAATAGTAACATATATTGAATTAAAATTAGCAATATGTAAGTTTAAATCAATAATATGCAATTAGAATATGTGATATGCAACAAGATTTCATATGCAACAAGGTATCAATAATATGCAATTAGAATAAGCTATATGCAACTTTGGATTAACAATATGTAATTAGGATATGCAATATACAATAAGGTCTTATATGCAACTAAGCGTCCACACATGCAATTGGAATCACCAATATGTAACTTTTGGATTAATGATATCTAATTATGATTTGTGATATGCAATAAGATTCTATGTAACTAGGTATCCATAATAAGTAATTAGAATCAGCAATATGCAAATTTGGATCAACAATATTTAATTATGATCCATGATAAGCAATAAAATCTTATATACAACTAAGCATCCGCAATATGCAATTCGAATTTGGCATATGCAACCTTGGATAAAGGGACCTAAATATTTCAGGACCATTACCTAATTAATTTTTTAAACAGGGATTTATCCTCAGTTTTTCCCTAAATTTCCAAAACACTGTCTATTCTCAAACCAAATTTACAAAGCCAAGTAATTTTTCTTTGACATACTCTTGTAGATTCTGAAAGATATGTGAAGGTCTACTTATATTTAATTAATACGAGAGCATTTTATATACATTGTTTATTGTAAAAAAAAAAACAGACAGGGAAAATTAATGTATAAGTATTTATAATTTTACCTTCCCTTAGATTTTTTTTCTTGTTTATCGGGTTGTTATAATTTCCTAAAATTTTTTTGGAGCAGAAATCCTTAATTTTAAATACTGATTTTTATTCTCATAATTTGAATTTGTCTGGTAAACATTATTAGTAGCTAATGATGTGACTGTCATTCACCATGCATCTAGATTAACGTTATCATATGGATCTGAATAAAATAAACATCAACCATAATAATTATGTATAGATATAGGGAAGGATTGTGAATACAAAACTTTTCTATTCTTATGTTAGTAATAAATAAATTTAATTATTTCATTCTATTTTTAAAAATCCGTTTTTAGGATAACTCACACGGCGCTTCATCAGCATCCATACTAAGTTTTGATTTTTTTTTTTTGCTGAAAAAGCTTTGATTAACAATTATGAACTTAGTGTCTTATATCTGTAATTAAAGATCATAATCGAATCCTTTGTATCCTTTTAGTCCCACACACACATAATGCATTTTTGTAAGATGAATCGACGAACATGCTTCCAGCTCTTTTAATTATTAGTATATATTCCAATTTTCCATAAACCACTTTTAAAATTATCTCACATATTTAATTCCGTTATTAGTATGTATGCTTAAGACAATTTATCTATTTCATTAATAAATAAAGCAACACATGACCTTCAAATCTTATGAGCCAGATTGAGCCTCGCGGACACACGCGCTGCATAGCATTGAATTGAGTCCCACATCGAGCAGAACAAAAACTGCACAGCGTCTGACAGGCTATAAATAATAAGCCGAGCGGCCATTCCAAGGCATACCTTTCTCGGCCTTTTGGCTAAGATCAAGTGTAGTATCTGTTCTTATCAGTTTAATATCTGATACGTGGGCCATCGGCCCACATGATATTAAATTAATTTTTTAGGTGGAGAGTCCATTACGGTAGCTTGCTGCCGGGACTCTCGAGCGTCGCCCTTGCGTTGCACTACTGCATGGGCCTGGCGCACCCCTCCAAGCCCAGTATAAACATTAGGCCAGCTTGATCTCCTTTTTGCGAATTGGTGGCCCATTATTGCCCGCGATACTGAACCATTTTGTGAAATCCGAGGCCCACTTGGATGCAATTGGTCCTCTGTTTGCGTCCCATTGAAAAAAAAAAGTGCCTCCCAGCCTCGTGTGTCTGTCTTACACTATTTTAAAGGCCGGTTAAAAGGTTGTTTTAGGTTTTGCGTTTTGCGTTTTTTTGGCGCTTGTGAGTAATTTGCTTCAGCATAAATATAAGATAAAAAGATTAGATAAAGTGTGATGATTTTCTTCAAATACTTTTTCTTTTTCAATTATCTGTATTGGAGTAATTGATATAACTTGTACATCATACAAAAATCTAACTATAGGAGTAATTTGAGGGGAAAATAATAAGTACGGAGATATATACCAAGGTCAAAAAAAGTATGGAGATATACAAGATTAAAGTCTTATATTTAAATATTCAGATTTGGGAGGAGTGCTTTTTATTTTGTGATAATCGTGCATGTTTCAATTTGACTTAATTATTGGAAGTTTCTGTGATTAAAAATCAAGAAAAGATGAAGTTAAATCAAGCTGTACTAGTACTGAGCTTTGGAAGAATTTCCATGGAGGCTAACATCGAAGTGATTAACTGATTGTCAAACTTAATATTTAAGTATATATGAATCTTTTGATTAAATCTTTTTGAAAAACAGTTTATAAAATTAAAGGATGAAAGTAAAATCTTATGTAAAATTAAAGGATAAAATGTAAATTTGTATTTTTTTTTTGTGATAATTTTCTTCAAACAATTTTAGTTTCTTTTTTTTTTTTCAAATACCGAATTGAGAAATTAATTTCGCTGATTTTAGCAGATCCAATTAGAATAATATTGAGTGCGCAAAAACTACAGAGAGAAGAAGGTAAGGATTTTGTATTTCGGAGAAATTAGTTCTCGTCCTCGTCGATGTCTCCATATGCTGATGATTAGTTGAGCGAAAAATTAAAATCGTGTTACTTTTCAAGAAAAGGAAAGGAGCCTGCAAGGTATCTAGCTATTAATAAAAAAATTTGAAGTACTTACTCTAATTTGACAAAAATTTTCAAATATTGATGGACAATTATTATAAAATTACTCGTAAACCTAAATAGATATAGACGTGAAAAACAAATTATATTACTCCTCCAGTCCTTAATACAAGACCCATTTAACTAATTTGATTAAATTAATGAAGTTAGGTAAATTAGTTAATTATAAGAAAAGTGACACATTTTTCTAAAACACCATAATTATCTTTCTTAATACCCCTTTTCCTCTTCTACTTGATTATAGTTGAGGGAGTATCCATATGGGTAATTTAGAGAAAACTGATAAATACAAGAAATGAGTCTTATATTTAGGACCAAAACCAACTCAGGAATTGGGTCCTATATTAAGGACTGGAGGAGTATATAAAATTAAAATCATTTTTGTTACTGATAGTTGTGGAATCATTACAGCATTAATTAATCTATTATTATTTATCACTAATCTCAAAAGCACTCAATATGCAAAGGCTCTAATTGATTTTGCCATATTTTCAGGATTTTTTTTTTATTATAAATATCAATTCTCATTGATAAGTCAAGTCTATAAATATTATTTATCACTAATCTCAAAAGCACTCAATGAAGGCGCTCTTTGTTTTGATATTTTCAGGATCAATTCTCATTGATAATCAAGTCTAAAATTACAACACAGGCAAAAGGGATGGACAAGAAGAAACAAAAAGAGTATGATTATGTTAGTAGAAATTAAAATAGCGTATCCCATTAAAAAAAGACAACATATGAGCAATATCATGAAGATATTTTCAATAGTTGCACCATCTCAAAAACCCATTTTGTGCACACTCTTAATTTTTTTTATATCGACTAATAATTTATTATATGCGCGCGCACATATATATAATTATAATTAATATGCAAACAATGATGAGTCTCTTGTTAACGATTTAAACAAGGCTAATATGAGTATATAGTATCAGAGCCGTTGAAATGATCAACAAGGTATGCTCACGATTTGCATCACATCTTTAATTTAAATTATTTGTGTGCACGTATGCATGTGTGCAAGGAAAGTGTATTGAGATTAAGTGTCCTGAAATATTTTTTCAGGTACATTTAACATTTTAAAGTATTTTGTGGTGTATTCAACACCTAAAAATATCTTTTAGGTATGTCCAATACTCTAAAGTTTTTTTTCTTTTTTTGCCTTGGTGCTGTATACAACAAAAAATATTTTTGGATGCTGAACGCACCCTAAAAAAAATATTTTCAAGTGTTGAATGTATCAAAAAATACTTTATGGTGTTAGACGCAACTAAAAAAATATTTCAAGGTGTTGAATGCACTACAAAATACTTTAGGATATTAGATGTACTTAAAAAAATATTTCAAAATGCTAGATATACCTTAACCCGTGTATTATTTGGTTGATTATAAAGGTTATTATATTAATTATATAAATATACTCTTCCGATTCTTAATGTAGAACCTCATTTGAAAATTGATGTTAGTCCTATATGTAATGCCTATTTCACATGTTCATTAATTTTTTTTCCCTTCAAGTTAACCCTATTGATATTCTCTCAACAATAATCAAGTAGGAGAGGAAAGGGGGGAATTAAGAAAGATGATTAAGATGTTTTAGAAAAAACATGTCATATTAACTAATTTAGTTAACATTCTTAATATACTCAAATTAATTAATTATATCTTACATTAAGGACTGGAAGAGTATATATTTAATTAGAGTCCTTACAATTCAACCAGATACCTTTTACAATAGCAACTACGCATTTGCATATAAAAATACATATGCATAGCTATCAGAGAATATCTCAAACAAGAGAGGACACGTATACTTAATTCAAAATATATATGTGTGCGTGTCATCTATACGTACATATACATATATATGTTTGTAGACAAGGAGGCTTCATTTATCCTGAACCTACAATACTGTAGGCCATATATGCACAATGTAAAACATTCATAGAAATTATCACTAACTAGAAATCAACAGCAAATCACATGCGCGCGCTCACTCTTTTTGTACATCAAGCAAATAGGGTCAGCTTAAAAGAGAATGATAATGGTTACTTCAACGCAGAGTAAAGAGAAATCATTGATGAAACTCATACGCGTCTAATGAAAAATAAAAGGGCATGAGGGTTTAGAAGCTATTTAGGTGACACTCATTGTCTGTTATTTATAAGTAACCGACAAGTATGACTCGATTTGATTGTTCGTTACAAACAACCGTTATATATAAGCTTCAATTATTTGATACTCTTCCGATCCTTAATATAGGACCCAATTGTTAAGTTGGTATTGGTCCTAAATATAAGACCTGTTTATCATATTTATCAATTTTATCTAACTTATCCCTATGGATACTCTCTCAACCATAATTAAGTAGAAGAGGGAGGGGGTATTAAGAAATAAGAAAGATGATTATGGTATTTTAGGAAAAATGTATCACTTTTCTTATAATTAACTAACTTACCTAATTTCTTTAATATAATCAAATTAGTTAACTGGGTCTTATATTAAGGACCGGAGGAGTAGTTCTTTTTGAAGACCATCAAATACCAATCTAAATTCATTTTTAATGTTAATCTTTCATTTTCCATTACATTTCCAACATATTCTATCATGTATTTACTATTCGGCCTCAATATTTCATGGCTAATTCCTCAAATCACTCAAAATTAACACTCAAACCATCAAAAGGGTTGAGTCTAACGAAAGAAACTAGTTTCTCACAACGTGATAAATCAAAATTTGAATCAATATTAGAAAAAATGTCCACATTAAGCATCTAAGTACCTTGAATATGATTGTTTCTAGTAGACCTGTGCTTAGAAGAGAAAAAACCAAAACCTAGAGCTTTACTGAAATCACCACCAACACATGAAAAAACCATCATTTTATCCATTACAACACCTAAAGAACCTCAACCAAACTATTTATACTCATTTAAATGATTAAATCAGTGAAATCTTCCTCAATCACAAACCCACCATAAACCGCACTAAACCTATAAGAAAATGGAGATCAGAGGCCCCAAAATTCTACGCTAGACTCAAGATTGTGAAACCCCAACAAAGCATTTCAAAATTATCACTTCCTCTCTATTTCCCTCTTCTCTTCTTTTAATTTTCATGTTTCTAATTTTATGCAGGTACTATACATGCACCGCAGTGGATTGTGCTGATGGTATGGAGAGAACCATTCTTTATTCATCCAATTTTGAGCCCAAATACACCCCTTACAATACCCTACTCCTAATTTCTTCGAAGCTTCTATAATGTTCATTCCTAATCCATTGAAATACTCCCAAACATTCCTTAATCATAGCTGTTTTTTTAATAAAAAGATCAAACATACATTGAACAATCCGATAAAAACATACAAGCCAACATTACTGCAAAAGCATTAGAAGAAGATAGGTACCTCACAGCTATAAAAGCTAATCATGTTTAAAACTAATCAATGCTTGGAAAGAAAAATTTGGATGTTCGACAAAATGTGCAAGCGTAAGAGTCAAGACTCGTCAATGAACATAAGCAATACGAAGACGTGGGTTTAGTTTTCCCTTAACTGTGGGTTTGCCAGAAAAGCTTTGAACAATTAGCTAGAATAATGGTTAATGTACCTATGATTGTTTAGTCACTATGCCTTTTTTTTTTTTTTGGCCAAGCACATGGATCATTCTATTAAAGACAATCTTATTTAAAGTACTGTTGGGTACTAAATATAAGCATATCTCTTAGCGAGAATTTAAATCTTAGTTTGCTATATTGTAAGAACCTAGCTTTTTTTCTAAATTTAACTCTCGATAATACTATGTATTGTATGTGATTTTGTTAAATTTACCGGGGACTGTTAACGTTGCTTTGTTTTTCCAATATTTAATCTAATATATAATCAAATAAATTTTTTTTCCTGAAGTATTTCTTGTCAGTGTTCTGACTCTACCTTGGTTTTCCTCGTTTGAACAATTTTTTTTCTTCCCACATTTTAACTGGGTTGCATGCTCTGTGCAGAGCCTATATGGGCTTTCACAGGAGGGAAGTGTCCAACCGTATTAAACAAAAGTCTCCAGTAGTCTTCCAGTTGGCAAAAAGAGTCTGCCCATAGTTCACCAAAAAAAAAAAAAGAGTCTGCCCATAACTATAAGATTATAAATTCAAATCCTATTGTTAACGTGAGGATTTTATTAATGGAGGATCTCGTAAGTGGGATCCAACTTACTTAAATTTTTTTTTAACAAAAAAGACTCCTTCATAAGCCTACAACTAAAAGTTCGTTTGGATCAACGATTGGAAAAGTAGTTTATTGTCAATTTGGCTTATAGCAAAGTAAAATTGGATAAAAACTAAATTGGATAGGCTGAATTGTGTTTGGATTGGAGTTCAGAAAAGTTAGTTTGTCAAAGTGAGATTGATAAAGGGTTGTTTGGATTATGGTTGAGTAAAAGTAAGTTTGATTGTAAAATGACCAAAATAGGTATGAGTTTTAATAAATAATAAAACATTATTAAAAAAATAATTTCACATAATATAATGAAATTAAAATAATTTAATATGAAGAAGTCAGATTTAATGAGTGAATTAAATTTTAAAACTTTAGAGAAACCATAAAAAATATTTTAAATATAAAGTAAAACATGAAAAAATAAAAGTATATTTCTATGAGCATATTTAAAATATATATATTTTTAACTTATTTATTCCTTTTAACTAATTTTAATTGACTTTTTGTTATCTATAAATTAGTTATTTAAGACTTATAATAAAAACCAAAGGAGGTAATAAATTTCTTAATTTTTTCTCTCTTCATGTTTTAAAAGTTATAAGTCATAAACTGTTACTTTTAACTTATAGCTTATTGTAGTTTTTTATACAAAAACCAGATTGCCCAATCAACTATCCAAACAGTATCTAAATTTCTAATCAGGCTTCTATCCAATTTAAGCTACTTTTCACCTGAGCCCAACCAAACAGGCACTAAATGTTGATCCAGCGGCTCATTTTTTGAACAGGAAAAAAAAAAAAAATCCGAAAACGGGAAAAGCCCTGCCCCTGCGTCACGGATTTGAACCGCGAGAGAACCACGGTTCCCTCTATCTTTGTGAAAATGGAGGGAAAGTAAAGAGGCAAAATTCCGAGCAGCAGAGTAATGGTGATACGCCGACTTCGGCTGGACTGTTCTGAGGACGACGAAGACAACGCCGAATTAGCGCCGTCGCCGTCGCCACCTCATCTAGAAACAGAAGCTGATTTACCTCCCCAGCAACAGACTGCCAATGATTTATCTCGGAGCGGTAATGCTGAGCCTTTTGAAATTTCTGACGACGATTTCATCGACGTCTCTGATAGTCCCTTGCCGACGTCTCCTCATCAGCATCAGAATCCCGGGCCTCAGGAGATTCCACCATCTTCCCGTTCAAACTCCGGTGAGGATTCTGGTTGTCCCATTAGCGACTCTCTTCGACGCCTTGGGTTGAACCTGAAAAGAGAATGGCTCGATGCTTGTATTCGTGAACTAGAGAGCTCTGTTCGGGGCTTTTCTGGGTTTGATGTTACTGCAAAGGCGAAGTTGTGTTTTGAGCAATTCCTATTTTCTGATATGAACTACTGTGGGAGCGGCATGCTTCCTGCAAATGTGGATTCCATGCATCTGGTTGATCTCCCTGGTCCGTATGTATTACAGGTCCGGCTTTCTCGTCACGGGCATCCTTTTCTATTGTTAATTTCTTTGTAACAAAGCAGCACCAATTGCTTACTGATTATCGACATCCAAATCATTGCCATTTTGCATCGAACTTAGGAAAAAAACTATGCTATCGTTCGTTTCAAATCATTTTCACCCACTTATTATTTCTTAATTGATATTGTCGCCGTATATACTATTTATCAGGGTATAGTTTCAAGTAAGAAGTGACTGTAAGTTTGATGATGGGGAAAATGCTTAGAAGCTATAATGACTGCCTGGATAATTTGACTTAGTTTTGATTTCTTAATCTTACATAGGAGAGCGCCCTTTCTCAAAAGTTAAAACTTTTGCCGCATTGCGGGTGGAATTGATCCAAATTATAATTTTCAGTAATGCACAGTGGTTTGAGGATTTTTGTTTAGACTGTTGCTAAAGCAGTCACTAATGACATTTTCTATTTTCTGATCATATCTAACAAACTCAGATGTGGAAACAGTAAATTCGCGTGCTCATGCATTTGGCAGGTTGATGAAATAATTAACATTAGCTGTCCGCTTCGAGGAAGATATCAACAAGCACCCCCTGGACTTAAAAGGTGCTTGAAGTTATCTATGACTGATGGTATTCAGAGGGTTTTTGGAATGGAATACAGACCCATTCAAGCTCTTGAAGTCTGTGCTCCTGCTGGTTTGAAGGTTGGTTAGCACGTGCTTCCTCAATTAGCATGTTTTATCCTGTGTGAATTTAATTACAATAATAAATTAAGTATATAATTATTTTTTGTATGTATTAGTCTTATTGAATCTGATTTTTTTTTTGGTTTATTTTAATATGGTATTGGCTAGTTTAAATTAGCTGCGGTCCATTCTTAGTTCTCTCACTTTTGTGCCTTTCCCATTACTTTATCAGTTCCTATGTCATTTATAAAACGCGGAAAACTTAATTGCATCTCTTTCCTTGCTAGCAAGGATGACACTGAGGGATCTTTACTATACTCATAGGTTGCCATCTGTAATGTACACGTACGCCATGGACTTCTAATGCTGGTCCCTGAAACCATAGAAATCTTGGGGGGATTGGTCGAGCAGCTGGATGCAGCACGAAAGCGTCTTGTTGATGAATTGAATAAGCCTCCTAGGGGAAAAAGGTAGAATTTGTTATATCAGATGATTTAGACAAGGGCATGTAACGTAAAGTTATATTATAAAAACGAATGCTTCCCTAGTGCAAACTGGAAATTTTCATGTTATTTCTTCATTCTTGCATAATTCCATGTTTAGTGTGTGACTATTGCTGGACAATTTTAATATATGAATTTATTTCACATGTAGACTCATCTAAAAACTTGCAGATCCATTACTGTAGCATCCTTTACTTTCATCTATCTTGATGTTAGTAATTGTTGTTGATAGGTCTGATGGCCATAATTATTGTGGAATTTAAAGGGTTTTTTCGAACCTAAATTTGCTGATTGATTAAACTATCTCTGTGATCCTGAGATGCAGAACTAAGAATGGAGTGCTTCCTCCCTTAGCAGCTAGAGCAACTCTTGCTGCATGGCCTTCAAGGGGAGCTGATGATATCACGCGCATTAATTCTACCATGCACACTACTCCTTCTATTCAGATAAATAATCAGCGTATGTTGTAGTCTTACTAACAGCTGAGCTTTTTTGTTTGTATCATTGGAATTGTTTGTCATCTGATACATTTTCCATGCCTGTGAAACTACAGATGCTAGCCTGAGAGTGTCTAGTGCTGCCAACAGATTAACAGCCGAAGATACTCCAGCCAGTAGTGCTCAAAATGCTGCTTCCAATTTAATACCTGACATGGTTTCAACTGTGGAAGCCACGCATGTGGACGACACAAGTGCAGATTCTATGGCTACTCAACTTTCTGCTACCATTGCTATGACAAAGGAAATGAACATAAATACTGTTAATATAACTGGGGCAAATGCTGCAGGCAACTTATCTTCCCATGCAGTTTCAAGTGCCGTGGAGGAACACAATAATGATACCATTCATATAAAACAACAGAATTCTGTGGCTACTCTGTGCTCTCCTATTGCCCAAAATGCTATGGAGGGAAAGACGGATAGAAGTCCCATAATCATAGAGAGAGCTCTTGACGGGTCCTCCTCCAGGGTTTCAAATATTAATGATGTTGATATGGTTGAGACAACTGATCACCCGATGATGCTGTCTGGAGATCAGGAAATTCCTTTCACATACTTAGCTAGTTTGTCAGCCAAGTGGGTGACGATGAAGGATAAAGCTCCTTCTATTCAGGGAAAAATTAAGGTATAAAGTTCTTTCTTGGATGAATTTTCTGTAGAGCAAGTTTCTTAATATATGAATGTCATCCAATATTTTACTGTATTTTATTTATAATGCATTTTTTTTGGTAGTGCTTCTTGACTGGTGTGAAGGGATTCCAATATAAGCGAAGGAAAACATATGAGCTTCAGGCATACGTTGATGATGGTAGCCTTATTTCTGAGATCCTTATAGATCATAATGTGAGTCTGCTCAAATATTGGATCTTTTATGATATTGGCATTGTCTTTGTCAGGGTAATAATTTGATCGTTTATTTTTGTTTTTAGATTGTTCAGAAAGGGATTGGCTATTCTCCAGAGGAGGTCACTGTTGCCCTTTCTTCTGAAGACAAAAAAATAGTCCAAGACATGAAGGAGACTATGCGTACATTCCAATATTTTTTAGCAAACTTCGAGGTGATCTGACATATTTCATCTGAAAATTTGCTCGGTCATTCTTTCCCAGACCGTTTATGACTTTATTCATTGTCTCCTTGTATTTTGTCGTAGGGAATAATGCTTGTGGAGTTAAATGCAAAGTCTTCTCTTCCAATTGCCATAGAGATGAGCCAAGGCTGTCCACCATGCGATGCATGGTTACTTTTAAGAAGGCTGAGGTTCCTATTCCCTGCGCGAGCTCAAAGAAATTGTTCCTCAGATCCCATTCAATTATCCCCTTGATCATATCTTTATGGTGATGGCCTCAGAACTTGATCTGGAATAGTCGGTCTCAGAAATTCATCACTACCAGCACACAATGTTCTTGCCTTGATGTAAGATGAAACTGTGTAGTGATCACTATGCTTTTACCAAAACTAACCTATAATTGTGAAGAGGACATTATTGTGTACAGATGGTGACCATCTAACGCTCTGTGGGTGAGGACCAGGGGTTAACCGTATACTTTTTCATCATAATCCTTTTTTTATTTTTGGTTGTGCTTTGGTAGGACTACAAGAGGGATTCAATTCTGAAGCATGCGATGCCAAGTCTCGTCAAATAGTTCATGAACATATACAGCGTCGGTAAATGTAAATGATTTAATCAATTTTTTTTTGAAGTGAAAATGATTTTATCAATTTATTATACTGTACATACATGTATCAGTGATTTTTAGCTTCGCAGCATTTTAACTAATTACATAAGGTTTTTCAATTCTTGCAGTCTCTCCTTGTTAATGTCATCACCCCATTAAACTTGAATATCCACGAGTGCAATATTATGCGGTCACCTCAGAAAAGGTCTTAGCTTTGGCATTTTATAGACCAGTTTCCCTTTCTGATTAATCTTCTTTAATCAGACCAGTTTTCCATTCTGAATGCTCATCGACATGATTGGAAATTGTAGTTTTGCATGTTCTAGCAGGGCTCGAGCTTTGTTTCTCCTACTGACTTGGGGTACGATATTTTTTTCAAACCACATAATTGAAGGAGCTTCTTGCCCGGAAAAAGCTTCTTGTTAAAGTACCAGCTTTGATCTTTAATATAAGAGATATGAGAGTTAGTAGAATGTTAAATTTGATCTTTAACTTGTTGATCGCATATACCAAAGGCTCAAATGATTTAAGAGGGTATTTTAAAAAAATCGATGTATATTTTTGACAAATAACCAAAATTATTTTCTTTAATCTATCTAATTTGGTTAACTAAATCTTATATTAAAGATTAGAGGTAGTATCTAAATCTGAAGGTTGAGATTAGCTTCCACCTTTTCCAACAACTCCAATATTTCAGGACTAAAAGCGTTCCAATAAAATCTGGTTCTAAGTTGCGACCACTGTGGGTGGGTGGCATTTATTTTTTACTCCCTTCATGACCGGAACCTTGAGATTTTTTTTTTCCAGGAAAAAAATGAAAGAAAGATAGGAGTCATCAGGCAATTAAAAAAAAAATAAAAAAATGAAATCTAAATTTAAAGAAAGTAGTTGTTGGCTACGGATCTGGTTTCTCCCTGTCTCTCTAGTGGTCGAAAAGCCATTTTGGCTGACTTTAGTAACCCGAAAGTTTGTGGTGCTCAATACCAAAAACATCGTGCATAAGTTTGTAACAAGATTTAAGGTTGCTTTAGATATTCGTGTTTTATTAATTGTAAATACAGCTATGAATCAGTGAATGTTTGAATGCTTCATGTGAAATAAATAGGGAACTAGTGAAAAAATGGAGCTTGGGTACGAGGACAAAGTTATGATCAGACTTAAAAAAATAGATGGAAACTCGCATTAGACGTTTATAATCCAAAATTTGTTCTTTACAATTTTCAAATTGCAAATTGCAAAATTCGTTTGTCAGTGCTTTTTTCACCCTTTTGTTCGGTTATATGTTTAGAGATGACGTGAAGATGTACAATATGGTTGCATCAAAACTTCGATATTTGGTTTCTGGTCAAGTTAAGCCCATGGTTCATTTTCGTAACTAAGCAGAATACAAACATGTTTTCTTAACTTGTTCTAAACATATTAATACTGATCTGATTCTAAATCTAAAAATTAAATAAATAATTTACAGATATTAATAAAATTAATTATTATAATAAATGTATATTACTTTTTTTAATACCCTTTGTGATTATTACCCCAATTATTAAAAATATCATTTAATACATGCAATGGACAAAAATAATTTGAAAAATTTTCGAGAAATTTACTACACAATGAATTGAGATTTTATATTTAAAACTAAACAAATCCTTTAATTAGCTCTTACAAAAGATAGTTAGTTTGCCATTTACAATGGTTCTCGAGGCTCGGGAAGATTTAGGAGCTACTAGGTAATTCAATTGTAAATACATATTCACCACAGGGCACAAGAAAAAGAACAAAATGAGCCACATATTTACCAAAAGTCCTTACAAGAGCAAGAACCCTCTTCAAAATGATGGAAACGATTTCTATCCCTTACAATGATTTTCCTTTGATACACTTTTGCAATAAACTTAATGGTCAAATGACAATCCTCGCACACTCGCAGGTTCTTAAAAATTCGAATGGTTGTTCCAGGAGCCGTTGTAAGAATCCCAAAAGCGATTGCTAACTTCTCACTATGACTAGCTAATAAATTCTGTTTCTCTTGTTCCTCAAGATATTGTGTGCTCGATGCTGTTAGAGGCTCATATCCAGCAGATTGAAGTCTATGAAGAATTTCGTCTAACATTTCATAAATCTGGAAGGATTTGGGATGTGATTTATCTCCAGAGACAAATTCATATACTGCATTATCAACTTCAATTGAGCTAGTTCCTGGGATTTTCTGTACATTTGCATTTTTCATCATCTTTCTCAGATTCATTACCTTGTCCCATTTCGTTGCTTGAGAATATATATTTGACAAAAGGACATAATTCCCATCTACATGAGGCTCTAATTCCAGAAGATTTGCTGTGGCTTCCTCTGCTAATTCAACGTTCTTGTGGATTTTACAGGCTCCAAGAAATGCCCTCCAAACTATGGCATCTGGTGATAAAGGCATAGTCTTAATGATCTCCATCGCCTCTTGAAGTCGCCCGGCCCGGCCTAAAATGTCAACCATACAACCATAGTGTTCAATCTTAGGATCAATTCTGTAAACACCAGTCATTGATTTGAAGTACATCCATCCTTTCTCAACCAAGCCAATATGACTACATGCACTTAATACACCAATGAAGGTAACATCATTTGGTTCAATCCCTTCAGCAAGCATCTTGGTGAAATATTCTAAAGCAAGATGGCCAAGCCCATGATTTGAAAAACCCATGATCATGACACTCCAAGTAAAGATATCTTTTTCTTTCAATCCCTCAAATATTCTCACTGAGCTATCTATGTCCCCACATTTTGCATACATGTCTAAAAGAGAGGTCCCCAGTTTTATGTCTATTCCAATTCGGTTTCTCTCAATGTACTCGTGAATCATCTTGCCCATTCCTAAGGCACCAACATTTCCACACGCATTCAATACACTGATTAGGGTGATCTTATCAGGCGCCACATTAGCAAGTTGCATATCATGAAAAAGCTTCAAAGCCTGGTTAGATTGCTGTCTTTGTTCGCTAGATGCAATGTCAAACAGTTTTTGAGATGCCCAAGCATCTCCAAGTGAGGCACACCCATGAATAATGGTGTTCCATGAAACCAAATCTCTTTGGGGCATTCTGTCGAACAGTTCATGTGCTTTTTGAATCTCTCCAAGTTTAACATATTCTGACAAAAGAACATTATAAGAGACTAAATCTGGTTCTTCCATAAAATCCAATATCTTAGCTGCACACTCTGTGAAACCACATTTAGCATACATTTCAATAAGCGCAGTTTGGACATACAAATCATGACAAAATCCAAGTTTCACCACATGGGAATGAATCATTACGCCATTATCACAATCCATAAGCCTCCCACATGCTTGAAGAACCAGCGAGAGGCTGAAACTATCAAGCGCAAGGTCGTCGTGGAAGCGCACTTGGAAGTAAAGGGCGAGAGATTCTGTAGGCTTTTGAGCATTTAAGTAAGCACGCATCATGGTGTTCCAAATGAATGTGTCGGGAAGGGAAAAAGAATCGAATATGGAACGAGCATAATATAAATCAGCATCATGGGGCGAAGAAAGGGAAATGACTGCGTTTAAGAACTTGGACTTGAGGAAGTTGTTATGGCAGAAGAAACAAGTTTTGACGAAAAGGGCGTGAAGTTGAAGCAAGTTTGAGAGATTGGTGTTCTGAAGAAGAGCCCCGACTGTCTGCTCAATGGCCTTTTTGGGGTGGCGCTGCAGAAGAAGCTTAACGCTTAATGACATTCTCCGCAAGGTAGAAGGAGAGAAAAAGTTTACGTCCGTCAAACTACGGAATTTGAGGGGAAAGTGAAGGATTGAGCAGAGCATTTATAAATAAACTACTTACTACTCCCTCGTATCTTAAACGTAAAATTCATTTTATAATGTCAGAACCCATAAAATAGGGTCTACGTTTGGGAGAAGCAGCACAGCAATATACAAGTTAAGTGGGCTTATGTGGCGAAAAGTTAAGCGGGAAAGGCAATTGAATTAGGCGGCCACAATATGCAAGAACACAAAAATAATAAAAATAAAAGGGTTAAGCTGTATTTAGCAGGCCGAAATATTTTTTCAGATACATCTAGCACCTCAAAATATTTTGTGACACATTTAGTATCTCAAAATACTTTTTAAGTACGTCTATTACCCTAAATTTTTTTTTTGCCCTAGTGTTGGATACACCAAAAAATATTTTTAGATACCTAACGCAAGTAAAAAAAAATATTTGAAAGTACTGGATGCACAAAAAAATACTTCAATATGTTAGACGCACTTAAAAAAATACTTCAAGATATTGGATATACCACAAAATACTTTAGGGTGCTAGATGCATCCGAGAAAATATTTCAGAGTACTGGATGCCCCTTAACCCAAACTAAAAACAAGGAAAGAGGTGGCGCTTTTTCACGGAAAATCTTTTATAAAGAATCTCACCAAATTCAATTACCTAACACTTTAAAATTATAGAGAAGAAAGTGAGATCTAAATTGGCATTTTAAAAAATTGTGAAATTACCTATATGTTATTCTATGCCAAAAAAAATAAGTTATGAAACTTGTCATTTTTAATTCAACACTTATGATTACCAATTTAATACTTGTCATTTTTAGTTCGCAACTCGATTGTTAACTAACTAACTAAAATAACCGAGTAAAAAGTTATGAAACTTGTCATTTCTAACTTAGTATTTGTTATTATTAGTTCAACACTTGTCATTTCTAATTATATTAATGTCATTTATTCACATAAAGGCATTTTGAAGAAAAATGTGAAATTACCCATATGTCTTTCCGTGAAAAAAAAATTATAAAATTTGTCATTTTTAGTTCAACACTTGTCAATTTAACACTAATAATTTCTAATTCGCAACTTAGTAATTAATTAACTTACTAAAATAACGGAGTAAAACGTTATGAAATGTTGTAAATATTATGTTGTGTGGATGTTCATAACTCCTTAGCCCCTTGGGATTCCTTCTCATGGTTAATGACATTATACCTTATAACTCTCAAATTGAAGGGTTTCAAGTATTGATTTCCTATAACCTCCAATTGTACAATTATGTTGCTTAATTCCTTTCTTTATGTACTTGTAACTCTTTAGGTTAGTCTTCAATATTGGGGTCCTATAAATAGGAGATGATGTATACACATTTGAGACAATGAAGTGAATGAGAACTC